CTTCGGTTCCTAGCTGCCAAACTGTCCGAAGGAAACACCACGGCTGAGATGCTGCAAGGACGCCCAAGTCCAAACATTAGCAGTTCAGGTGCAGAGTCTGGGTTCGAAACACAGACCTTCCGCCTCAACCACTGAACCAACTCGTGACAACAAACAGCAGAGGTTCGAATACTGGCCTACGAAGCACCTGAATACTTGCGGTATGTGGGGGGGGGTCGCCAAAAGCACTCTCACGAGCCGCGGTGTCCGACAGGGATTTCCGCCCCATTCATCTTTGTTTATTTGTTACTACCGATATATTGGGGCGAACATTAGAACTGCGAAACCTAGTGTTCAGATCTGTCAGAGCGAGAACCCTGTTGACCTGGACCATGCAGACGAGATGGGCGAGATGGTCCAAGTGGTTAGTGCGCGAATTTACTGACCGGAAGGTTCGTGGTTCGAATCCGACCTCCGCCACTCGACTTCTCCTGTCTAGGCTTGGACAACCTGGCAGTATCCTAGCCCTCGTGCTCCCTTCGGGTGGTATGGCAGCTAGGCACCGGAACGCTACAGCTGAACGCTTTCTTTCTATGCAGACGACAGTGTTGTCATTTTTGAAAAAGGGCAAGAATCGCAATCATCACCAGAAAAGCCGACCGAGTCCAGTGCTTCCATCCAGACCCTTGGCATTTGCTCCGCGCCCACAATGTTCTGAGGCGTTCCGCAGGGCGTACAGTTTTTGAAAATGCCCTTAAGGATTCAAGGAGTGACATCGTAACTATGTTATGGGATATCGAAGGCAATTCTTTTCGGGACCAGTTTGGGGATCCATGGATGCATGTATGTTGACACTTATTGAAAGATTTCCTTCCTAATTCCGTACGATCAGCAAAGCCCTTTGTTAGTTACAGGTAAACAACCGAAGTAACCATCATGAAGAGAGTGGATTTTACCGCGGTGTGACGGTTTGCGTACCTCGGCGACCCACTGAGCTACACTGGAGTGTGTTCCCACGACACTCACAGGCTAGAGCACTCACAAAGTGTAAGGTCATGATCGTGGACGTGCAGTCACTGAACGCGCCACTTAAAACCCAGGGTGAGATACTGGAAGTTGTGGAACGTTTTAAGTATCTTGGAAGTTGAATTAGTTCTGATTGTAGTGTGACAGATGAGGTCAGTGCACGAATCTGCAAATCCCGGGTCGCGCTTGCTGATTTGGGACACCTATGGCCTCGGAGTCGTGTATCCCTGAATCTCAAGGGACGTGTGTATCAAGCTACAGGGCGGGTTGTTTTGTTGTATGGCTGAGACTTGGCCTGTTCGAGCAGCGGAGCTGAGACGTCTTCAGGTGTTCGACAATCGTTGTCTTAGAACCACAGCTCGTGTGGGTTGGTGTCCGCGTATCCGTAACGAGGCAACTAAGAAGCGAGTTCTCGGTTGTGTAACGCGTACTTCCATGGAACAACGTGTCCAGCACCAAAAGTTGCGTAGGTTGGGACGTGTGTTGTGTATGCTGAACCACCGTTTGAGAAGAGAGTGCTGTTTTTCATATCCTACTCAGCGTGGCGTAAGCAGTGAGGTAGCCAACCCTTGAATTGGTAGAGGGGTATAAAGGAGACTACGAAACGCTTGAGTGCTGTCGGTGCTACTCGCCTCCCAGTATGCGGATCGCGTGATCCCTACAGCGCCCGGTTGGAGACACTGATATATGGCTGGCAACTGAAGTCAGTCGGTTTCTAAATATATTGCCTGAGTGAATGTCTGGAGGTGTTGTCACCTCGGAATGATTGTACCTAGCATAGCACTAAGTCCCTTCCCGTCCACCTTTATTCTATTCTTTACAATAAGGCTTTCAAATAAAAATCATGGTTGTACGGCAGCATCGGTGTTGATGATGATGATGATGATGTATTTTCGGCAACCTTTGTGATCTTCAATTCAGTGGCTTTGAGAGCTTCCTATATATCTAATGAATATCCTTGATGTAGCAATTTGGCCACAAGACTTATATTTAAAAAAGCGCCGAACTGGTCTTCTGTTGCCAGCTATCTGTTAAATCAACGTTCTGATTAAAAACCGCGCGGCAGTATAAATCACGAATGAACAAGTATTCTGGTCTGATGCAAGTAGACATCCGGGCTATTGGATATGGCATACAGCGCTGTTCCTCTGTGTTGAATCTAACTTGACCTTATGATAATTCCCCCATTCATTTGCTTACTCCGCCTCTGTACTTTTGATTTCTAGTTGTTTTACTTATCCGTACCCGCCATTCACCTTTCCACAGAGGCCGTCCTGTTCGACACTAATGAACTGACATGTGTGTGTGTGTGAATGTGCGCAGCTGACCTACTTACCAATGCGCGTTCATGTGCCGTTTGCTGAGCCTGCCTTGACTTGTTCCGTGTGATCGCACGTCCAGTGAGGATCACGAGACTGTCGTTGGAAAGGACGATCGTAACCCACGGACTGAGCCATCATTCCGCTAGCCGTTGTGCGGTGTGCGGTCTGCGGAGGTTGACACTGCACTATGCCGGTCAGTGACAGACCTGTCAACTTGTTGACGCTACTACGGTGAACAAGTGAGGTTTGTTGTACACATTTGTTTATCCTCACTTGAACAGTACCGTACAATTACGAACCCAATCCTTCCTTTTGATATTCTGGATTGTTGAACCTACGCGTCACTCAAAGTTCCGTATCGGGAACCTCAACACTCTGAATAGCCAGATGTTTTACTCCTTTAACTGGTTCCAAATTTCAAGTGCTCGTAATCATCCGAGTAAAATTCCCGGTCACTCTAAAACCGTCGATTTGCTGAAGTACAACACCTGCACAAGGTCCAGTGCAAAACCGGACAGTGATCCTAAGTTGTGCTCCACAACTTTCAGAGAACTACTCACAAGGTTACTGAAAACTCTCCTCTTTGATTTGCATATGAGTGTATTTTTCGAAAACAGTCCACTGTGGGTTCAAATGAAACATAAGGTTGACGGAAACTAGGGGACTGCGCCTACCGGATG